AGTTCATGTCAATGGGGGTGGAAGAATTTGCTAAAGAATATCCTTAATGGTTGTACAACTTGAAGAGTATAATCAAGGACGCTGGATTATACATGTGCATGTTGTGACATTGGAGAGTGTTTTGTGTAATTTTTTTCCACACTTAGAAAATAAATGATTACATGAATAACAACGAATGAAAGGATGTTCTAGAATTCTAGAATTGAATGTGGTGACAATTGTCCAACTCTTCTCTCATCCACATGTCATACAATTCAATAATTCAATCATAATTGTTAAAACAAAGTAACGAAACTGGTTTAGCAGTAGACGGATTGTGAGCTCTTATTCTAGGCTGCTGCTTGGTGTTGAATACATAGATGATATGGGAACTTGGAAATAGAAAATCACATTTTATAAAATTATTTCTCTTTTGACTAAGTCCCAGCAAAATTATGTGCCATTGGTGGGTATGTACATATATTGCTTTCCCCAACGGCTGTTTTCCTCCTGGTCTGAAAACAGATACATGATAAACCTAAAAATCAGACATTTCAGTTTAGATAAAAAATGATAAGCCACAGCTGTTATAAGATCCTTGGGATAATTTTAGTTTTGGGGTGAGAAATGGATAAAGAGGGCGAGCATAAATTTGTTTTCTTCCCTTCCATGTGGGTGCAAGTTTCTGGGTGGTACAGTTTGCCTTTAGTTCCTGGGTTTGCACTCACCCAGTGGTACCCGAGAAGAAAGATCTGATGATTGCTGCCAAGATTTCGGCCTGGAAAGCGCCGTGGAGCAGCCCTGCCCTAGCCACGTGGGGTCGCTGTGCCTAGAAGGAAAGTATTTGATGTGGTGGGGAAATGTGAAAGTGTCCTCTGTGGCTTAGTAAGCAAGCACAAGCATGCCCATGCTTATCAGATGATTGGATACCAATTCCTGTAGTACATTTGTTACGGTTGAGAAACCAGTAATGACTCATTGTTCTGAACGAAAGACTGCATTTTAGTGTAGCATTCTTCACTCAGGCTGTGCAGCACCCTGGGTCAAGCCAAATTAAATTCTCTGAACACATAGTTTAGAATGTGTACCCTGAAAATACTTTTGCTAAGCGGAACTTTTCCTCCTGTGAAGAGTTACAGCTTCAGAAACGAACACAGATAGCTCTACCCTGTCCTATAGGGCTGCTGTGCGTCTGGCATCAATGACAGTGAGCTTTTTGGTTTATTCTTTCTGAAATTGGCATAGGAAGAAATAGCTCTAAGGCAATTCCATAATTTTGGGAAATGCATAATATCAGCCATTGGATTCTCACGCAGAATAGTTTCACTGCCACAAACGTGGCCTGCGCTTCACTTGTTCCTTCTTCTCCCCTGACTTCTTGACAACCACCATTCTGCCGTCTCTATAGTTTGGCCTTTTCCAGAAGGGCAAACAGTTGGAATCATACCATCTTTCATCACCATCTCACCGCTATCGAGTCTGTTTTGACTCTCAGCTACCCTGTAAGACAGGGTAGTCCTGCCCTGTGGGTTTCTGAGACTAACTCTCTAGGGGAGTAGAAAGCCCCGACTTTCTCCCGAGGAGCAGCTAGTGCTGTATACATAGGTGCTGCATCCCCAAGGCTCTTCTACAGTATGCAGTGGGCAGCACTTTTCATGCAGCATCACCACCAGCCAACGCCCAGCAGTTGACTGATGGATGCTCTGTAGTAATTATTAGGCTCCTAGCCTTGTTCTGGAGCTCTGGTGGTGTGCCTAGTAGTTACGCATTGAGCTACAATCTGCATGGTCGGCAGTTCAAAACCACCAACAGCTCCTTGGGCGAAAGACTCGGCTTTCTACTCCCCTTAACAGTTCTATTGACTAGATGGCAGTGAGTTTGACCTTGTTCTATGTTGTTCTTTCTTGTTTAGGGGCTAGCTCCCTAGGGCTTTGGAGAGGTAGCCTCCAGTGCTTCTTGAGTGAGCCCTCTGAGGTAGCCCAATCAGGAACGAATGAACAGGTGACCTGGATTCTCAGAACTCTGAGGCCTGGCCCCATGTACTGAAGCAGGTGTGTCACAGGGCCCAGCCTTTGCGATGGATCTTGGGGTTTGTGTTGTGGCTCCCAAGCTCAGAGGCTTACTTGTTGATGCTCCATCTGGTTTTCTGCACACCAGCGAGGCCTAATAGATTCATGGCAAAATCTGGCCAGTGGAGTGAAGAGAAAGCAAAGGCTCCTCCAGGTGTAAGTGATAAATAACCCAGAAGTCACAGTGCTTTCTGAACAGGTTTACCATCTTTTACGCCATTCATGGACAGTTTGTCCTTCAGAACAAATGGAAAAACTCCACAGATGTTGGAATTTGCAGACACAGAAGTGACATTGCTATCAATTTGGTTTGGACGTTGTGTTGTGTTTCCTTGAGTCTACTTAATTCTCTGGCAGTCTGGAAGGGAGTCTGTCCATCTCTGTGGAGTGGTGCTCACTGTGTTCGTTGTGAGGGAGAGGAGGACAAAAACAGACTAATGGCTTTCAATTACACAGTCAGTGGCTGGGAAGGTAGGGGTGACAGCATTGCTAAGTCACCATGGCAGCGGTATTGAAAAACTGCAGACCATTTTCTGCTTCAAGTGAGTTAATAAGCATACTCACCATGGTTGCTTGTTGTAGTAATGCCCAGTTACCCAGGAAGCCACATAAGATGGCAAACCCACTCTCAAAATTCGACCCAGGTACCAGGAAGTAAGCTCAAACCCAAGCAAAGTCCTTCTTTTCTGTTTCTTTGTGTGCTTATTCATTTTTAAAAAATCATTTTATTGGGGGCTCACACAACTTTTATCACAACACATCCGTCCGTCATTGTATCAAGCACATTTGTACATTTGTTGCCATCATCATTCTCAAAACATTTTCTTTCTACTTGAACCCTTGGTATCAGCTACTCATCCCCCCCCTCTCCTGCCCCCTTGATAATTTGTACATTTTTTT